CAGGTTTGAGAGTGAGGTGATGTGAAGCAAGTTATAAAAAAGGTCCAGAAATCTCCTTGTTGTCTGTGACACACCTGATAAAACGGATTTCTGTACAAACTCTCTGTTCACTGGAGCAAGAGAAAGGTTTGTTGGTCCATTGTTTGCTAAATCTATCGAGCTGCTACTTCCTGATTGTTGTTGACCTCAAACTACAAGAGTCGTACTAATATAGTATGTAGTTTTTTATCTGGTCTCATTGTGTTCATGGGAATTTTCACTGTGTAAAATCCAAAGTCAATTAGTTTAAATGCTGTTATCTAGATATGTCCTCATCAATCATTTTGAAAATCTTTGCCCCTCATTTATCGCCTGTCACAGACACATATCCTCACCAGTAACTATGTGTCCTGCTTTTACGTATATCTCCTCATCTGGCCGGTTACTTTTTCAGTCAGTTTTTGGGAACCCCCCCCCCTGATTAGAAAGAGCCCACTGTGGATACACTGACAACCAACATACATCAAGTATTCTGTGTGAGGAGAGGGTGTTATCCAAACAGAGCTCACCCTGGTCTTTCCAGCCATGTAATCCCAGCTGGCTTTCCAGTTTCTCAATGGAGCTGTGGTAGAGTGTGTGTGTCTGTGTGTGTCTGTGTGTGTGTGTGTGAGAGAGCGAGTGAGAGAGCGAGTGAGAGAGCGAGTGAGAGGAGGGCAGGCGAACGGCTGTTGAACAGCAGTTTTAGGGGATTAGGAGGTTTTGGAGCACAAAGACTCGATGTGGAGCAGAGAAAGAGGCCGAACTGGAGGGGGAGGAGTTTAAGAGGATAGATGGAAGTGTGTGTGTGTGTGTGTGTGTGTCTGTGTGTGTGCGTGTGTGTGTCATTTGGAGGGAAAGAGGTTAGAAGAAGTGAATCTTGAGAGTTTATCTGAAGGCTTCTCCAGAATCATACTACTACCATCGTCCTTTTCCACCTTTCGTTGCTGTGTTTTTTAATATCTTTTTAAACTCTCAACAACATGTCTGTCTTTTGTCCTCGACTTAGTTCAACGTTATTAGCAGTTCAGACCAAAGCTGCAGCTGTAGTCAAACTCGACAGGACATTTACAGAAAGAGACACAATGCTTGAGCTATGCATGGCACCTGGGGAAACAGCCGAGTGAGAGAAAATGTTCTGATGGAAAGGAACGCGACTGTATTTTGTTCTCTCTCAGTGCCGTTCCAGCTGAATGTGCGTTTATTCACTGACGCGAAGGAAGTTTAAAACTAGTGAGTTTAAGTGAGATAATTATTCAGGGTTTCTAACCTATTTTCAAATATTTTTGCAGTGACTTCTTTGAAAGATCCTTCAAAAAGAAGCAATCTCAACATGCGACCTCCTCGTGACCTGAGAGCTATTTTACTTCCTGTGCAGGAAAAATAAATTCGAAAGGTTAGAGAGAGACTGAAGTCTGACAGTATATATAATTTTGTGTGACGGAAATATCTTTTATTCTTCATCATCTGGAGAAAAAAAAAAAATCCTCTAATTTATGACACGCCAACAAATAGTCCTGGCGACAGAAGTTGGTCCGACCCGGTCGACCTTGAACGCCCGTCCCAGCACTGAGAGATCTGCCAGCGGTCTGACTGCTGGTTGACCCAGACGCTCAATATTTGGCTTCGGTCTTTGTTGTTGAATGGGCGAGTGTTCAAATTAAAAAGGGTTGAGCTTGGAACTTCTGGTCTGAGTGATTGTTCCAGTGTGACCCTGCTGGCAAGTGCTACTTTAATATAGCCAATTAAATAGTCACTGGATATTTATAGCAAGTGTTTACAGGCGTTTGTGGATTTTAAAGAAATGGAGGAAAATGAATTTAGAGAAATTAATGATCAGGTTTTTCTGAGTAATTCAATGTGTATTGTGATAAATTGCATTCAGGTGTCAAGCACCTTCGAGAGGCTAGATTTGATTTACTTGTTGTTTCTTTATATCACCCTTTCCCTCTTTTCATCCGTCCATTTACTTCTGTCACCCCCCATCCATCTTTATGTGTCTCCCTCCGTTGTTTCCAGTGTCCCTCCAGAGTACCAGTCAGCCACCAGAGCTGTTCTGCCAGTCGTTTGATTCTGCCCAGTCCAATTATAGCGGTCCTTAATTACTGAGGCTGTCAGCCTCCATCAGGAGAGCCATTCGTCATATGGACCGGGCTGGACCGGGCTGAGCAGTCTCTGTAGGTTTGGTGTGGGCAGTGCTGGACAGCTGTATTTTAAAGTAGATTTTTTTTTTTTTATTAAACCACGACTGTTGACAATAAGTTCAGAGAAAAATTATTAATTTGCGTTTGAAAAAGCAGCATTTCAAGGCAACAACCATCATAAATTATGAATAAATCAGTTCATTGTTTAGTCTGTAAATCAAAGATCTTCAGAAATCACTAAGACTAACACTATCTCAGCATGTTAAAGGAAGCGGTAAAAAGAAATCCTGGATATGTATGTGTCCATATCAGCTACAAAATGTAATCGGTTGTTTCTCGGGTCATGTCACTTCCCTCCACAAACTTTCATCCAAATCAGTTTTGTATTCTTGGAGTAATCCAAACACCAGGATGTCACTTTGTAGAAAACATACCTTCGCAAAGCTGCACACACTCATAGATATGAGTCCCCTGAATATGAGATAATGATTGTTTTTCCTTCCAGATCTGTGAATGAGTCTCTGTCGGAAGAGTTAGAGCGCCGTGTTTTCACCGATGTTAAAGAAAGTGCATTCCTGGATCTGGCCCTTTGTCGGGATCTGAGCCAAAATTGAGCTGGTTCTTACTTGGCCCGTGTCCCGTCCTTCCGCCAAGTTTCGTGGTTTTAAATCTAAAGTCTTTATTTTGATTGTTTTGTTCGGCCAAATACCAAAAGATATCATGTTTCCTGTCATATTAAAAAAAGGAACAAAGGTGGAATATTCGGCATATTTGCTTGAAAAGTGACCATTTGACAAATTTGGTTTTCTATTGATGCCGATGATAATCTGATTTCATGCTTCATATATTGTGCAGGATGTGTTTAGGTAAAAACCTCAGTGGCTGCTCTTCGTCTCAGTGTAAAGTGCAGCAGCCCTGATGTGTAAGTTTCTGCAGACTGGATCAGAATACCTCGGTGCTGCGTTTCCTCTGTTTGTGTGTGGTTTCTTCCTCCTCTCTCCATCTCATGTCCTCTTCTCGTCTAACAAACAGCATGAAGGAGGTTATAATTGGGAGGTCCAGAGCTCTGCCAGGTGGAACCACTTGTATCTGAATACAGGCTCTCGCTCTCTCTCTCTCAAGATCTCTCTTGTATATTGTATCTCTACCACTCTTTCTCTTACTGTTACATTCTCTCTCTCTCTCTCTCTCTCTCTCTGTCTTACATTCACTCCGCCATTACGCTCATAGCTAGGATTGCATTATTAACATCCTACGACAAAGCTCTGTGACCATATTTAGTTTTTACTTTCTGCAAGATTCCGCACAGCTTTTCTTTTCCCCGTCTCTCTGAGTCATCCACTGTCTATTCATGACCACACAACTGTACCCCCCTGCTGCCAAAACCCCCCACCCTCACCTCTTTAAGGAACTTGCCAAGCGTTGCCATTAAAAGGCGTTCACCTCATTTACTGTCTTCCTCCCCTCGGTTTCCTCTCCTCCTGTTTTCCGGTCTTCCCTCCAAGCCAAAGAGGATACTACTTTCTTGTGGTAGTTTTAAAGTCGGTCTTAAAATTAAGTGGTGGAAGAAGGAATACTTTATAGGAATACCACATTATAGGAATACTTTGAAATCAAACAAAGACCTGTGTGTGTGTGTTAACCCTTACATGTAACTAAGTGCCTCAATGTACCTGTGTGTGTGTGTGTGTGTGTTAGAGCGCAACCTCAGGATACAATGATCCGTTCTAACCCGGCAGAGCCTGAGAGAGAACTAGAGGAGCCCGACCTAAACCCCACAGGCTCGATCCTCGTCCAAGGTTTTGCCTGATTTCAGGCACATGTAGTTTGTGTGTGTGTGTGTGTGTGTCTACACTCAAACGACGGAGTGGTGTGCCACAAGGTTGTACTCTCGGTCCTGTTTTGTTTGACATGTCTATGTGTCCTCTTACATAACTAGTTTTCAAAGTGTTTTCTACCACTTCTGTGCAGAGAATTATACATTTCTTTTACCCCTGAAAATGTGATTTTACGTGTTTAAATGTATGTCGAAATTGTTGTGTAATTTTTCCGCCTCTCTCGTCGTCCTGCAGGTGATTGATGGAAAACTGGCTCCCTTCCTGTCCAAGGTGATCAAGTTCGCCAGCTCCCATGTTTTCAGCTGCAGTTTGTGTCGAGAGAAAGGCTTCATCTGCGAGCTCTGCCAAAACGGACAGGTCATCTACCCCTTCCAGGAGAGCGCCACCAAGAGGTACAGACACCCAGATCACATTTCAATCTGTTTTGACTTTATTGACTTTTGATTTATGGTCTGACTTGTAAAAAGATGGACACAAGGCTGAGTACGTCATGTCACAAGACCAACGAGCACGTACATGTTCTTATCCGACCTCAGGAGACATGATCCTGATGAGCAATGTTCCTCAGCCGTCACTGCCCTTGTACAAGATGTGTTCATGTCAAGTAGCCACAGCTTGAGGAAAGTCTCCTTTGTCCTGATTGGTCACTTGAGATGATTTAGCATCTTTTGAGCCTTGGAATCTAAAACCGACTCTTCCTGAAGTCTTTAGAATATGCGTCATGTTCGGTCTACCTTCACAAGCTTCTGGAGAAGTTCTTTAAAAGGCAGTGAGTTGTATCAAGAACATTTCTTTCTCTGAGAGCGTACGGGAAAGCACTCAGACGTCATGCACTTTTTATTTTTCTCTGGAGAGTGACTGAATGTTCACTTTCAGTAATAACCCACCAGCCTCAGGAGAACTCACCGAGGTGTGAGGACTCAAACTGATATACAACATTAGAAATGACGAACAATCAGCCGGAGGCTCCGTTTGGTTCCTGGTTCTCAAGTCCAGTGTTTTATTTTGTTTGGAAACACTCGGTGTTTCAGTGCTTGCTCTCATACTTCTTTTTTTTGCAAGTGCCAATTTAAGGGAGAGACCTTGAGAGTTGACATGTTTTGGACGCTCATGACGTCTCCAGGGCTTTTTTTTTTTGTGATGTTGGATTTGCTTGAGCTGAATTAAAAGTTCTATTTGTTTTATTTGACCAGGTTTTAAAAATATCTGCCTCTGAGATTCCTCCCCTGATTGTATATGTGTCTCTTAAAGCACAGAAACAAACATGGACCTTGTCACTTCAGATAATCAACAGACAAAACATGTTTGAGTCGTCTTGTTGAATTGACCCTCGAAGGTTTGGTGAAGGCCTCGTGTTGATGAACAGCAGTTCATGTGTGACAGCGGGGCTGAGCCTGCTGCTCGTCGCTAACACCGGCTAACACCGGCTGGCACCGAGGAGGTGGAGGGATTATTTGAATGACACAGTCCAGAGCTTTGTCTTTGCCACCGATAGTCAGAGTGAAAGACAGCAGAGCGATAAGAGCCGATCAGGAACGATTCTTAGAAGACTCGGAGCTGTGGAGGGAAACGTTGACACGCACGCACACACCTTCCTTGTCGAGTTGTGTTTTATGGCTTGTGTGGGAGGTGTTAAGTGTTAACTGATAACGGCTGCATCTACTGTACAGACTGGAACAGGGCTGTAAAGATCCACTGAGTTAAGCTCTGTTGATTTAGTTATTCACACAGACGGAACAGGAAATGTGCAATTAGTGGTTTAGTGAAAACAGCAATTAAATGTGTAATGCAGTGAGTTATATTTGTTGTTCCTGTCAGTAATAGTAACACAACTCAACATTTGGGGACATCCAAGACTAAAAGTAAATAAAATCAGCGGCTAAAATGAGTTATGGAAAGTAAGTTACAAAAAGATTTTGAACATGAACAAACTGTGGAAATGTGACTCAGAAAATAATCTTGACTAATGTCCGACTGTTTCTGCTGAGACAATAATATTAATAATGATTTCTCCTCTATCCTTTTTCACATTTTATATTTTTATTTTTAACAATGGTCAAAGAAAAACAAAAAAATCAATTACAAGCTAATCAGTAGATGTATGAAACACACGAGTGGTTAATGTGTTAAGATGAAGTGTGCTCGTGTTTCTGTGCGTTTGCAGGTGCGACGGCTGCGGTGCCGTTTTCCACACCGAGTGTCGACAGAAGGCTCAGCCGTGTCCCCGCTGCGTCCGGAGGGAGCTGCACCACAAGAGGCCGTCCTCCTTTTGGTCTCCTGATGACGACAGCCCCGGGTGTTTTCACCTGCCTTACCAAGACACCTGAGACACACACACACACACACACACACACAAGCAGTATCAACGGGCGCTGCTGGGCCGAGACACCGGGACAGAGCGTCGGTGTTTGTGTGTTTCCAGGACGGTCTCGGTCAGAGCGTGATCTCGTCGTCAGGTTTGTGTTCGTGTGTGTTTACCTGATCTACACACGCCTGAACGCAGCAGGGACAACTGAAGAACTGCTGCACCAGACTTCACACAACCAACTACTCGTGTTTTGTCGTCAAATATCTCGTCACATGTCAACGTCAGCCTCCGCCATCGTCACCCCTTCACCTCCCCCACAACCCCCCACTGTTTGTTTTATTCCAGGAGTCAAAACGTGCAACATCACAGCAGGTGAACTGGAGAACCTCAGACTGAGGGCTGGAACTTGTTGGTGTTTTATTCTGAACAGCATCTTCCGCCTGCTTGTAAAGTCACACTTGAGTTCAGAGATGAAACGCTTTGTCCACAGACACAATTAGATTCTGGTGAAACATTTTCTGGTGCGGAGTCTTCGCTCCCTTTTCTTTTGAGCGGTCAAAGAAAAGAAATTGAAAAAATCTCCTTGACTTCTAAAGTGATTTAAAACATTTTGTCTTTGTTTACAGCAAAAACATTTGCAGGGAAACAGCAGCTGATTCTTGTCTCTTATGACAATGGAATGAAATATTAAAGGGAATTCTCACATTTGTTCAAGTCTTTTAATTTAATGTTTACAACTGATTTCAATTGAAGTGATGATGGAGAAGATTCGCCTGCGTTTTGATGCAAACACTCAGTTTATCCCAAGTTAACGAGGATTCAGCAGCGCCGGTCGAATCAGGCGGAATCATACGCAAACGTTTTCTAGTGTTAAGTTTCTGTTTCGTGCTGAATCTCAGCGAGGAAACGAAAAAATAAAGTGAATTAAAAAAAACAGGATTTGTTTTACTGATATCCTGGAGTCAACTTTAATTTTAAAGCAAAAACTAAGATTTTCTTTATCGTATATATTTCACAGTAAAATCAATATCTTTCAGTTGTGAAGAAGCAATTTGAAAAAGAAGCAGCCGTCGATTTATTTTGGAGGAAATCTGAGTTTTGGGGAAAATACAGATTAAAGGTGGGAGCGTTGATTATGCTGCAAAGATGGCCGACAAACTTCCAACTTATTCAACTTGAAATCTGTTGTAACGAGCTCAATATTCACGTTCTCATAATAATAATATCTATTTGTAAAGCACTTTTCAATACAATTAACAAAGTGGTTCACAACAAACAATATAAAATGAACTAATAATAATAATGATAAAGATACAGGTTATTAAAGTCAAAGACATGAAGCATTTATGTTCACATCTCAGCGGAGATTCTTCCATCAGATCAGGGATCATTCAGGATTCAAGCGGAACCATTGTATTTGGATGTTTTAACAAATAATAATTATTAGTTTTAATCGCTGTGATTGAACTTTTGGAAAAAGTTCTTCTCTTTCATCACATCTCATCCTCTTCTCCTCACACTCAGTGTCAGAGACAGTAATTTAACCTGTAGACGTGAGATGAAGGACGTTCGTCAACTCGTTTTTATCAGTTTCTTTATGTAAATGTTCAGTGTAAAGAGGTTTTTCATTTTAAGAAGACTCTGAGTCTGAGCACATTTTCTTCTCTAACTGTAAAATACCAGAGGCAATAATCTACTGTAACTTCTCTTTCATTGTTGCCTTCCCCTCCTCCTCCCTTCCTCCTCTCCTCCTCTCCTCCTCTCCTCCTCCCCTCCTCCTCTCCTCCTCTGTGACTCTTCCTCCTGTCGTGCTTTATTCATGTAGAATCTATCCAACGTGATAGCAGCTTTAGCTTTTAGTATTTCTATGCAACCTAGACGGCCTTTATGATCCACTGCTTTCATACGTGTAAAGGTCTGGAAACTCTTCTTCACGTTTTCTTGAACTCATCACAACAGCCACAGTTCCGTCCAGTTTTCATAAAAAATTTACTGAAATTTTACTGAAATTTTGAAAAAAACCACAGAGATCTTGAATTTTTTGAGTAAATTCCCGAAAGACAAAAAAAACTAAACCACAGAAATTTAATTTTAGTTTTAGAGTCCAATGTTTTTCATCCCAAATTTTGAATTGCCCCCCAAAAAAATTCAATCTTTACAATAAAAAATTGGTCAGAAAAGGAAAAACTTTTGGGTAAAGAAAGAAAACTTTGCCTTTGTTTTTTTTTTTTTTTTTAACCTTTAACTTTTGGACTCTTGTTTGTTGACCAGCTAACGGGGAAAGTTTGAGTTTCCAAAACATCAACCAGAAACTTTTTTTTAAATTGCAGCTTTAAAGTTTGATCGAATTCTGGATGGAAATGTAGCTGCTGCTTCTTCCTGCAACTCGTTTTCTTTCATTTCAATGTCAGATGTGTCGTTTTCACTTCACTCTCTCTGAAGCCGATTCCTTTTCTCATCTTTTTGAGCAATAAGAACTTTCACTTTCTTCATTTGTGAATAAGCGGTTGTAAAAAATAAATCAGAACCAGACAAACCTGAGTTACAGGTTCATGAGGAAATGTGTATTTCACTGATCGGACCGACAGTTGTTCATGTTTATGGAGCTCGTAGGAAACTAGACTGAAACTAAATAACCTAGTAGTTTAACATTTGGCAGGAAAAGTGTTTAATGTGATTTGTTTTTACTTCGGTTTGAAGCCTGCAGCCACGTCAGCTCAAGTGTTATTACGTTATTGTTGCCTGCTGCATAAAAAACCAGTGAAACGCTGGTGAAGTATTTTTGATAAGTATTTTTTTTGTTTGTTTTTATTTGTGTGTGACTGAATCCAACGTGTGTCCAGGTTTATTTTGAATCTTATTTGTGCCCACGGATTAGAGATCTGCTCAGAGCTGCTTCTGTTCAGTTTGAAACCTGAACTCTTTCAGGTTTTCGTGTCATTAATTATCATTTGTTAAACTCGCTCTGTAGCAGGCGGCAAAACAAAACTCAAGCTCAAGTCTGAAGCTTTCAACAACAGAGACGCCCCGACGGTGGATCTGGTTTCAGTTTGCAGGACTGAATGAAAACAAACTGTTTTCTTGTAAAAATAAGTCAAAGTGAAACTGGATTTATTTCAGCCGAGGTCTCCTGGGTAGAAGTTGCTAGTTTATATTTTGGACTTAATGAGAATGTGATGGGATCATCATTCATCGCCAGTGATTATTAGATTTTTTATTATTTGACCGAACAGAGGAAAGTTTCTGTTTTCGGATCTTTAGTCCCACGAGTTACACAAGAAACGTTGAAATGAGATACTTGAAGGTTTCACCTCTTCTGGAAAAAAGGCTTCTTCAGTTCCGACTGAAGGATGAAGAGACTCAGGTGTTTGGTACAAATACTTCAGTATCGTCGTTGTACTCTGACGAGAGCAGGAGTTTGTGTGAACAAATGACCATAAACGGACTTTGTGTACTTCACCAAACCCTCTCTTCACTTTTGAATGGAGTAAATTGATTTACATTATATTTGTGTCTGTTAATCCAGACGACTTGAACGTGCAGGTTTGTGTTCAGTTGAAGTTTTTGTACGTCTCTTGTGTCTTTCATTAATGTGAAGCACGTTTTAAAGCCTCGTTTGTTTTGTACGATTTGTTGCAGTTTAAATGTTTCCATGTTAATTTCATCAGTGTTTTCAGGATGAGTTTATTCACGATCACAGGGTGAATGAGAACGGGACTGAAATGTTCTTTATGTTGCAGGCACATTATGATCATCGCAGTATTTTATTTTCTACTTGAGAAGAATATATTGTACAGTATTTAAGCAGAGTGAAACTCTTCTCTACGTTGCACAATTTAAGTTATTGTATTTTTTTTTTTGTATTATTGTTTCTTTTCATTGCAGAAAAACTCTTATGCAAGAACAGGGAGGTGATTATTTCAGTTCATCTTCCTCGTGTCTGGTTTGGTTTCAAATTTGTTCGCTATAGCCACTGATGCCAATAAAGAAAAAGTTTGTAAAAGTGAACATGTTTGAAATCTTTGTCGAGAAACTTTCATATTGTCTGTCCATTTTTTTGCAGGTGTATTTTAATTAAATCAATAATTGACTTTTTAATAAAAAGCACTGATCTAACAGCGCTAGCTAGAAACACAAGCCGTGTACGATATGTTATTACTTTTTTTTGGGATTTGAAGATTTAAAGTTTTGATTTAATTGACAACAAGGACCCGAAGAACTTAAAATGAAACTTAATTCACAAGTAAAAAAAAAAAATCTTAAAACCATAGGTTCTATTTAAAGATGGATGAAACACCTGGTGGCCGGCTGCAGTATAGGTCCTTAACCCCGCCTCCTCCATGTTGGCAGGTGGGACAATCTAAAAAAGTCACACGTCAAATCAATTTCATCTCAACGATGTTTTCTGTCAATTTAAAAAGTGTGAAATGATACGTGTGGTTTTCATTCGTCATGTGACGTCATATCAAACATCGCGATCGAGAGACTGACTCACGTCCGCTGAGGGACGAGTTTCAGTGGCTGATGTTTTTCCAGTTGTCGATGGAACTTCGGCTTGTTTGCATTTCTCTGAACGATTTGAAGAAATTCAAACTCAGTTTTAACATCTGATATTTCTTGAAAACTGTTTAAAGACTTTTGTGACGAAGGGCGTTTTCTCAACCGCTGCCTCCGAGGTCAAGTGAGAACTTCCAAACGAGTTCACCTGCCTGAGTGAATCTGCATATCGTCCGAGCGAGCAGGAATCTCAGAGCCTGACTCATTTGCCCGTGATGTACGTCGAGCTTCGGGCAAATTGAAGCTGAGTGTCGACCGCGCTTAATTGTCATCGCCAATTAGTGCATTGTGGGACGCCCATAATGGATCAACTGTAGCGAGTAGAACGAAGTCCTTTGTGCTTCTCCAGTGGCCCGCGGGCCAGTCAAGACTCATTTAAGGCCCGAACAACGACGGAGCAGAAATGCCAATGAAAACGAAAACAAAAGACAGTTTAAGGAGGAAAAGAGGACGGAGGGAAGAAAAAGAGGAGGAGGAGGGAGGCGGACAACGGTCACAGAGGAGGGAAGGCCTCTCCCAACATGAGAGGAGAGTGTATGACTTTGACACACACACACACACACACACACACACACACAGACACACACACGGTGCCCCTCCACCCCGACGTTTAGCGAGCTGCTACACAAAAGCTGGCTGGGCCCCAGTGTTCCCAGTGACCTGGTTGTTCAGAAGCTCGTTTGGCCGTGTCGGAGCTTTCAGCAGGTCTGAGCAGAGCAGATTGTCTCTGGGCTTTTGTCAGTGTTAAAGGGTACAACCACTGTTTTTCTACTCAAATAACCATTAAAATGTGTTTTTCCATCAACTGTCATGAAGCATAAAACAACTTCCTCAGCAGGATTTCACTGGAAAAAAAAAGAAATCAGTATAAAAAGCTTTGAGGGAAGTTTTAAACACTTTAAATCCAGATTATTTCCAGTAAAACCAAAACAACCTGAAGAACAGCGTCGGAGGATCAGCAAACCGAACTCCCTGTGACTTTCTGCATCTTTAAAGAAAGTCACTCGTTTCCATTCTGTGTCTCTACACGTAGTTTAATCACCTCCACTCAGGAAGTCACGTTTTATTGACGTTTGTCTGTTGCACAATAGATTTTATTCAAGTTAGTTTTTTCTTTTATTTTCAACCTTTTCCTGGAACTTGATATCGAACATTCAGGGAACTAATATTAACGATTGTGATTAATTTGCTGCAGTTTGATGGAAGTTAAATGGACTGTCGATAGGAATAGTTGATAAATGTTTCTTCAGTTCAGTTCTTGAGTACACGCATGTTACACGCATGTTACACGTCAACACTGGATTTTCTTTCAGACTGAAGAGACAGATTAAACATGTGAAAACAAATCTGTGTGTATTGACTCGATTCACTGTTTGCTTTGCGTCCAGTGTGAACACGTCTTCAGGTTATTTACTTACACGTGATGTAACTTTACTACACAACTACACAACTACATATTACTCTCATGGTTATCCCCCCCCCCGCCCGCCCCGCCTCTTTCATGAAAACCAACATGTGGCGACTCAGAGCTTGTTTGACTGAGGTGATTTGTCAACGTGAGCAAACATCACTCCTGCTTTTGTTGTCAGAGTTACGCTGTTGTTGTGTAGTTCACCCTCCTCAGTCTGAGTGGATGGAAGCCAGAGGCCTGTGTGCGTCCTGTTCACTTTGTTTTGTGTTTCCAAACTTCGACAGTTCACAATCGACAGAAATACGATTTTAAAGTAGAAGGTAGCGACCTTCACTTTGATAAACTAATAAAGTCGATTCACGACGAATAAACATTTGTTTAACTTAT